TGTAGCGGCACGTTTGAATGGGATGACCTAATAGAAGAATACGGGGATACGAGACTGCTTAATTAGGCGACCGTATCTCCTTATTCTTCTACACTTTCTGTCTAGCACTAGTGGTCAGAATGGTAACCATCGCGAAATCTACGCTGCCTTATAACTACGTGCCGTTTCCCTTGGTTATACTAACTGGCAATATTCCATAATCATAATTTTATATCAGTGCTTACAGAAATATGCTTACAAAAAATATATGCTGGGGAACTCTGGGAACAGCTGAATAGTTTTACTACTTCTGAGAACAGCTAAACAATTTTACTGCTGGCTATATGCGCTCTAACAAAGTCCGGGATAACAAAGGTGCAATGCACGTAGATAGTGCGGGCCGAGACCGAGAACCATTGTTTTTTGAAATAAAGCGCTGTTCCTTTTGATGGAGCTTGTGTGGTTCTCAGTCTCCGCCCCTACGATCAGCGAGGAACGCGCCTTCGAATGAGCCTACGAGAACATAGCTCTCCTTCTTCCGAACAGGGTCAAGCATCCGTTGAGAACGGCTAATGGAGGGGCCTCCTAGACTCCCTGAAGAGAGGGGGATCATATTTGGAGGAATCAGTAGTCAACAAAGCTGTGAAAACATGAGTCTGGGATAGGGGTCAAAAGCGGATAGTGAAGCGGTAGTGTAGACAACTAGGTTTAGTGAGAAGACTTGCCATTTCAAAGTGAGGCTGGGACTGTGACAGGAGTTTAATGAAATCAAGAACAGCAAATAATTTGGTTTCTAACAGTTTTTTGAGTGTTTGCACCCACCTCTCGAGGAAGACCCTCTCCATGGGTGAGACGAATGGGTCCGAGCTGCAGTGGCGTGACACTTTTCCAAAAGTGCACGGCAAGCGGCTAGAGATACCGGGCGGGCGCCGTCTCCATACTGCGGTATCACTACCCTCCGTCATCGTTCCCCTGCACTTTTGACCGGAGGAAGTGGCACGCTATTGCAGGTGTGGGCCTATTCACTTGACACATTGCCAGGACCGGGATCAATGGGGGCGAGTGTCTGTCTTTAAAGGCAGTTGGCACGATGGTTTCCTACTCGGTCTAAAATGCTAGTAGGGCGCTATATAGTGGGGAAATGGCGAAAGAACGGAGTGAAACGGTCAAAATCCTGCGAAGAAAAAGCCTCCGTCCCTCTAGTGACCTGAAAATCTTTCGGCGACGAGTTTTCCCATGGCTCTTCGGCCAATACGCTTACCAAAGATACAGCTGGCATATGAATGTACCCATATGTGCATGCAGCATCACGGGCAGATCCATACAATCCCTTTCGCTTCATCTTTAAGTTCAGAATTGAAATGAATACGAGCGTCAGGAACGGTGGTTCATTTGCGGGCGGGAGGGCGTGGGGAGCGTTTGGGTCGGAATCTGTGGCTTGATAGGGCCCTTATAAGGCACTTCATCGGAGAAAACAGCGCCGCCAGGGGTCGCGGAATTTTTCTGCCATGGAGTATTCGATCCTCAGTCCCGTCATGGAGTTGATTTATCGTTGCCAACTGCCTTCGGGTCTTTCAAAGCCCACGCTCTGGCCACGATAAATCCCACTATAAAGCGCCCTACTAGCATTTTAGGCCGAGTACAAATTATCGTGCCAACTGCCTAAAGTATGTGTAAGGGAAAAGTAGTGAGAAGACAACAAGGTAAAAGGGTTTTATTCTGTTCTAGTTATCCCCATTCAAGGCCACATATTACCCCTCCCTCCCTCTCAGCGAGTCAGCACTAGTTAGGATCGCACTAAGGAGGGTAGTCCTCCATCGCATGCCTCAGGTTCTTGTTCCCATACCTATGAATAATGTGACACATTCAACGTTCCATTTATCCACATGTTCTTTTAGTTTTTACTTTTTAGTTATTACAGATTGTTTAGTTTCCGTCTAAGGGCACGTGCGAAGCAGAAACTAAGCTACTTCTTTGAATCACCCCTCTATAAATTCAATGAAAGAAAACTTCATAAAAGGACTATAGTCATTAGGATACTATATGAAATCGAACCAAAATTAAGTTATTTACGTATGAATAAGCCACTGTGAGACATATGTATTTATATTCTCCTTCAGATGCCGCCTACTCGATGTCTTCTTACCTCCAGTCGAATTTCATACCGCGTGTTGATCCAACGCTAGTTGAAGAAGAGAAAGTGCGTGTTTTTGTGGGCTGCGGTGTCTTCCTTGCGAATCTTCTGCTACTCTGTGAGTTTCAGCCAGTTTCATTGGAATGAAGTGTGGTGATACCGGAAACTTCTTGTTATAGAGAATACGCCTTTTGTCATAATTTCAGTCTGAGTTGTAATACAGCAAACGGAGCAATAGTTTGTCTTCCGATCTCGTGAGATATTTTCGGTTGTATGTCATGACGATGTATTTGACGATAGTTAGTCGTTTATTGCTGCGGGCCAGCTCCACCACACGAGAAGGAATCCTCACAAGTGTCACTCGTGGTTACCTCTCACTGAGCACCTTTATTGGCAGTACATAGCTGAAATACGTGTAGCCACCACCAGCGTATTATTCCGAGCCTGTCTGGGCATGACCTCACTAGTTGTGCGCTGAGCCTGTGACCTCTTCGTGACTGCTTAACAAACGAGATAAATCGAATCGAATTTTTCTTTTAGTAGGATTTGTTATGTGAAGATCAGCAATTTCCCAATTCAATAAATATTAGAATGAGGATAAATGTTCGTATAGAAGAAAAGCCTCTTGAAACATTTTGTAACATTTCTGTTTTGAGTGCCACCCAACATCTTATGACTTTCCAACAGCAAATAATCCTTACAAGATACCTCTCACACTCTATGTGATAGCTCTTCTCTTTTGACTTGCTGCTACTGTTCACACCCTATTGAAGGTCAGTTGAAAATATATTCGTATAGCTGGATGAGAACACTATTAACACACTGTCAGTATTTACAGTTGCACGAGCATGCTTCCAGGTTACAGTACTACAATGGATACTGCCATGACTCTTTCATGCGCCCACTCCTCGCAGTTTCTACTCACCCGATCCTCTACACTCTGTGCTCTACCGCTAGCGAATTCAGTACGGGATGGTTTCTACATGGCTCTCCGCTGATGGTTCATCTTCACACCAGTATCCGTCCAAGCTTCCTCAACTGCATTCCTGACATCTACCCCATTCCAGAGCATTCCTTCAGAAATACTCATGGTTTTCAAGCTTCAGATTTGATGTCTTTTAATGGACTTTGCATGCAATCACAACACCCATTCCTCCTCGTGAAATCACGGATTCTTCCACTGCTCCTCCACCTTTGTCTCCACCTTTGTCGCCTATTTCTTCTCAGGAAGTCTCACACTCCTCCACAGCTCCTCCACATCTGTCCCCGTCCACGTGCTCACCCCGTGCAGCTGAAAGCCTTTCGTATCCTAGCCGTGGGTCTTTCAACATTGCATGTGAAAGAGATGCAAAACCGCTTCACTTCCTTTAGATTCGGAGAAGCGTTATCAGGATAGGGTCACTGGGGATCAGGAGAAGACTGTTTCGGAAGAGATGGGTAATATGAGTAGTGCAGTTTGAGTTTTATTTATTCCTTGTGAATCTGGACCAATATGTAAGAAATTTCTTTTTTCTAACATTCAACTTGTGGAAGATATCACCATCGATCTCGTTTTCGTTGAGCAGTAGTTAAAAGGTCGAGCGTTTCAGTCGCAGCAATTAAGTGAGGTCGTGCCGTAGGCAGGCTTGGGATATGCGTTAGGTGGTGGCTGCAGTATCTTACCGTATGCCACCCCTTCACCTAGCTCTTCGAGCCCTTTTGTGAGTGCCTAAATCATTGCAGTTAGCTCACCTTTCTTGACCGCAGATCTCTAATTGTTCGGACACCGAATGTACGCACAGCAGGCCGTATACATCGCCATGACATACGCGGACAGAATGTGCCGGAGGGACTAAACAAATGGTCATCCATATATTTCGGACTGATAATGAGTGTGATCAGGTTTCGAAGGCCGAATACGGGAGCCTTGACGGTAGATTATAGCCAGCTCTCATGCACTGCATAATAACTGAACTTAATTGAACGAGTTATCTCTGCAGAAAGTGCTATATTTTGCACTGCATTTCAAGGAGATGGAGTGGGCGTGGCTGTGTAACCCACAGACTGTAATCATGTATTTGTTCAACATAGCACAGGATGACAGTTGTCTCAAATGGAAACATTCCACAAAATCTACGTGATGCCCAAATGGTGTTCACGACCCCGCCCACTCCATCGCCGGGATATGGAGTGTACAAAAGGACTGCATTGGATCGATTTTAGTGTTTCTCAACTCGCGTTGTGCAATGCGCCGACGCTACATATTCTTCACGTTGATAAGCGTAGGTGATATTCTGGATGGCACATATCTGATCTATCCTAGTATCATGAGACTATCACAGATGGCTGCAGGAACATTTATTGGCGGTAAGTAGGGGATATGCTACCTTGTTGCTCAAACATTATACTGTAGTGAAGTTCAAGTATGATTGGTAGGCGTTGACTAAATCTTGGGCGAAGGTGGGGCAGTGGTGAGTGGCACCGTCTATTTCTCTTTTTCCAAATTGGGCCACTTTCACCTTTGAAAGCTATGTCTACCCTGCCTTACCATCGAACAGACGTGGTCTAGAGGGACGTGGTGCCGCACGTGCAAGATGTGGGATCGCATTTCGAGCAGGTTGCCTCTCCCCCCCCTTTCAGCATTTTACTAGAACACGAAAAGGAACTGCATGTTTAAGAGTTTTACTCGTTGATATCATAAAGATATCAGTTCTTTTCCCCTGTCAGAGCACATTTACCATTATTTAGAATCTTTATCATGCTCTGTATCATCATCAGGCGGAGGTGGGCCAGAACGAATGGCCCCGCTTACCAAGTGCACGGCCAAGGGGTCCCATCCCAGATTAGCTCGTGCCCGGAAGCGAAGATAGTCGTGACCTGATGGACGAAAACAAAAAGGACATTTAACCCTATCATTTCAGGCACTTCTATATGGGGTTGCGCGAGCAGAGGCTACATGGTGTTCCGAATCTATGGCACTGAACTCGTTTCAGTTGCAATGTTCACGATGGCTGCTGAAAAAGTATTCGCCGTTTTATTCACCGTGACTTACCGGTAAGAATTCATAGTCAAACAATTGCAAAACTTCAAAGAAAAGCGATAGGCCCTAAAAACGTGTGAGTGCTGTAAGGCCTTGGCAGAAAAGCCACGAGCTGAGAAAGTACAGGGCACATAGCGGTAAGGGTAACGAGTGAGGTGCCGGTTCGAGCCCGCCTGGAGTCAAGTCTTTTGCCCATAACTCAGCATTTTTTGGTAGGCAATCAATCAATGGGCGGCGTTGCAAATTAGCGTCTTGAAGGGAACAAAAACGAGAACCCTTTCTGTGACAGGAAGATAAGGTCTCCCCCCCCACTAGTCACATGAAAAAAAACTCCACCCTCCTCCCCGGAAGTTCCCCTCGATGGGAACGCAAAAAATGGAGGCCATGCTGAGGCTTTCTGACAACTTAACCCGTTACGGGTGTATGCGCCGCCCGAGACCAAAATAAACTAAGGGGAACGTCAAGCGAGTATGCTCACCGTCCTTCACGTTCCTCAGACCAGCTGACCCACTCCCCAGTCATACATGCCTTTATTACCTTACTATTCACTTTCTCAATTTCTCATAGAAGTTGGTTTCAGACGCTATGCAACAAATGAGACTCGTTTTGTTGCTGCAGCCGTCTGCTTAGCTGTTTGCCTCGTATCATTAATTGTCATGTTCCTAACATCGTACTTCGCTCCACGAACAATAGTGCAGGAAGACATATATTGTGGCATATCGGGAAGGTAAGCTGCTAGGTAGTGTGCCAAATTAAAGCAATTTATATACTACAAGAAGATTCGTAGGGAAATGCCTCAATGGAATATTCTTTACAGTAGCTCCAACCCTTTTTGAATAACAGTTCATATCTCGCTATTAGAGTGGGCGTGTGTGCAAAACACCTAAGTGCCTGCCGTCTATATCTCTGAACGTTGTCAGGTCAGGCAAATGTTATCCTCGATCAGGGTTGCAGTTTGAGTTGTAGCTGTATAAGTTTTCTTGTTGGTGAAGCTAGAAGTGTTAAGGCGCCGGTTTGTGTTGGCGCCCGTCGCTTTTCCATCTGAAGGAGATGTGTTCTTTCTTCAGTCCCAGTTTCTCCCTCTTCAGCCATAGACGACCTGAGTGTGCTTGGTAAGAGTCGGCGCTGAACTGAATGCCACATCTCTGATCTGGCAAACAAAATATGACCCTTGTATATTTTTATGAATTTTGGCGAAAACAAGTGTTGGCGCCAAATTGGCACCGTTCTAGCGTTCAAGCGCGAAACGTAATCGGCACCTTAAATGAATGCTAATGGCGCTGCTAATAGACTGACTAGTGCCAAAGCTTCAACTGGGCTCGCTGACACAAGGTTTAGAAAAGATGAGGTTCATAAATCTCAAGTTACCTGTGCCTAAGTTAAGTATAAAATTACTCAAACACTCAATTTACCTATCAGGCTGAATTAAGTTGTTCAACACCGCTCGAAGGATTCGCCACGTTTCATCAGTTCTTCAATTTGACTTGCCAGGTAAGCAGCATCACGAAATGGTTCCTTAAACACAGTACTGAGCTTACAACATGCAAGTCGAACAAGGTATGGTTGACAAAAGGAGGATCGTTAATAATTGGCGCGTGCTGGGCCTCGCGTCGCGACCGCCGAGCAAAGGACGATGGTTTCAGCAGTAAATGACGACCAAATGCAATTAAGAACCAAAACAGTAGGATGCAGTCGTCATACCTATGACGAGGTCTACATGAAGTCCGGTGCTTCATTCGACAGGTTAAAACGAGTTATGAAAACGCCGCGCCCATCGCCGCGCACGGCGGTGCGGCGAATTACGATCCTCTTTACCGTCTCCCGTCGAACAATGACGAAAAGAGATGAAACGGGATTAGGTAGAACAGATTGAAAGGGACAGCGTACATGTGGGAGGGGGGTATAATCAGACATTAAAATTACGATCAGGCGTAGTAATTGTTGCCCTGTGCCGCTGTGGATGGGAAGAGAGATAGAAAAGAATGTGTGCCACGAGCCGTTTCACTCACTATACGCTCTTTATATCCACACTCGCTCTTTCGGCGCGCTCCCACGCGATCGTGAGCAACTGATCCACGGCAGTTGATCTGCCAACGTGGTCTTTTCACGGTGCCTCCCATGTCCTAGTTTTCCTCGTCCCAATGAACTGTCCAATTTACCGGCAAAATGTCAGAGAGTTTATTGCCGCGTCGCCTTTACCTCTACATCGCCTCGCTATAGCTGCTGTCACAGAAATAGCACGCAACTCGTGACCGCCTGGGGTGAGTTTTTCCTTGGAGCCCTAATGCCACCACCTCTCTGCTACCTCTAGTGCAACTCTGCCGACCCAGGGTGATAAGGGAGTTGTTGAGCTCACTGCTCTGTCAGAAAGTTTCCACACCAACACTAATTCATACGAACAATTGTAACTACGCCAAAACTACAACACCCCCCCTTCGATTCTTCAACAGTAATGTATCCTGCGCTAAGAGGGTCTATGCTTGACCTGGTTGTTCGTGTAGTTACTCATTCCGTTGCGATCGCTATAAAATTCCAGATCGGCGCATTTGTTGGTTCGGCGTTCGCTTTTCTCGTGGCTAGAAAGATCACAAAGCGAGCAAACGCTAAAGAAATCAACTCGATTAGACCGATCCTCGTCGTCAGTTTCGTCTCATGCATCGTCATCTCTTCAAATAACATAGTAAGTTGTTAAAGCGGAATCAGCTAATAGGATCCAACTAATTGGGCACTTTCTCGGCTTGTATTGTACATTTGGCAGCTGCGATTGTAGATGCAATTCATTGCAAATTTGGCCTGTACAATGAATAGTGGCTTCCAGCCGCGCACGCCCTACGTTAGGAATTTCCAGCGATGGTCGTACTTGATCACTGAAGGGAAGGGAGATCGTGCCTTGGGTGGCTTACAAAGACATTTCCCAGTTTACGATTTCCTTCACTGACGCACTACGCTCCGTCGCGAACCCGGTGCGACGCATGATCGAACCGTTGTGAAAGGGTGGTCGTACCTGAGGAGAAAATTCGGGAGGGGGCAAAAAAGGTACATAGCATACTCACCCTACGTCAGGACGGGCCCTCTTCCTAGCCGAAATGCAAGCCAACAATGGTATTCTCTTTAGTAGCTGCGATTAATTCCAAACCACTATTAACCCATTCATGCAATATCCGCTCCCGGTGGCGGACACGGAGTTTAAAAGTTGGAGCAGCTCCACCACATGCGGTCATTTTTATAAATGTACAGGTCACAGGATCATGTCCACAACCAGTAGCGAGCATGATTCCTGCCTGTCACAGTGTGGTAGACGGAGCGCATAAGAGGCCTGAGTGGGCCCACGTTTTGCCTTGCACTTGTTTCCGCTCTTAGAAAAGGTGATCATTCAAGTAAGTTGACCTGATTTTGATGAAAGAATTGCTTTCTCACTCGCGAATGGGGCTTCATCTGCCACTACGCCATTCCAGCTTAACTCAAATGTCATTGTATAAGCCGAACATACGCTCGGCATTCCAATGATTCTGAGCGACAGTCGAATGTGCGGCTCACTAAGGACTCTAAAAAATCCACTCACTCCCCTCTTGTTAATTCTACCCCTTTTTACTTGCGAATTACGTCTCCTTTTGATATTTCAATACGTCATCTTCAGATCTACATTTTGAAGAATGTCGTTGACCTCGATATCACAAAATCGGCAGCAGAATTACATAGTGACGTACTCTTCGGCCATATTTCAGGTAAACTATAGATAGAATAGTTTCCGTTCGATTTATGGCAAAGGCACATTGAACGGCGCGCAAGATACGGTCTTGGAATGCGCCACTCTAACTGGTATGGCTCCTGTATCGAATCGTCGTGATCTAAAACCATCCACTTCCCGGATTTGCGTACTTGTCACAGCGCTAAGCACTGCACGGGCCTGCCTCACAGAGCACTTTGCGGAGGGTTTTTCGGGTGGGTCAGAGGGTAGCGCGTCTGTGACCCATCTAAAATATCTCCTGAACTAGCGGGTCTTCAGGAAAACTGCAAAGCTTGTCGGAAAGAGCAAAGATAGGGCGGTTTCAGGACGATTTTGATCCTGATGAAATTGCCTTCGAAATAAGTAATCCTTGTGAGAAGCATAAAAACCCGCTTGCCATTAACCCCTAGCCGATCCGAAAGCAAGGCTCATGTTAGGATTCAGCAGTTGGGCTTCATACAGCTAGCGCAGTGAGATGCCTGGTGTATTTCAGTAAAATTGACTACTGGTCAGTTCCTAGCTGATCGGAAACTTTTTTGCTCGACGGAGACTGTCCCAATTGCAATCATCCTCCTTCTAGCAGAAAAAAAATGCAGTCAAAAGTATTTGCGTACCAATGCGCGGTAATGCCGTACAAAGTTTGTAGGCAATGGATACCCACCCTCCGGCCCTACACTACCAAAGCAAAGCAGGCCGCGTATGCTTTCTTTTATTTAGGTGCTTAAATTCGCCTTATACATGCTGTCCCGGCCAAGAGTTCCGTGACTGCCTTCGAAAGATCATCAACGATCGGGTTTCTACGGATAGTCAGCCTACACAAATATTCATGAAAACTGCAAACTCTATGAAAGTGGGCACACTTCGGCAAAGTGACATTCGATCTCAAATAACGTTTTAGTTACGATGCTTTCTTTGTTGCTTCGTAATGATACATGTTGTTTTGGTCAGATTTTTATTCTGTATTTTCTTATTTGTAAACAGTTGCAGTTTCCTCTATAAGAAAGTTCTTCTGATCCACAACAATTGTTGAACGTGTTTTCCATGTAAATTGTGCCATGCCTTCGTACAGCGCCTCTGTGAGCGATCCGACGGACAAGCCTCGCAAAAACATTTTTTTTCTATTCAGCCAGAAGTGAAGCAGGTGTAAGCTGAAGCGCTCCCTGCTCTCGTGGATGAAAATTTGGGCATGCAATAAGGGACCGCGCATTTGCTTACGGTAAGCAATTTTGGTTCTGAAACCCAGCGCTGGTGAAATTCACTGTAGTATATTCTGCTTTCTTAAAAGAGATTCACCAGTTTTCAACAAAACGTAACAGTATGTAAACGAGCTTCTTGCCGACTGGGAAAGAATTTTTATGTCACAGTGTCGTATATATGTTTTTCCTTATGGTTTTAAATTGTGATGACAGATTTTTTCAGCTTGATTTACTGGATAATTGAAAAATTAGTGCTGTTCTCGTTTCGCACGTGCTCTTAGATGGATACTGAACATATTTATTATCTCTTGCTTGTGCTTATCAGTAAGGGCAGGGAGGGGGAACCTTGATGATGAAGAGCTAATTTTATTATTGTCAGTGTTTTTATGTAATATATTATCATAAATATACACGTATACTCACAAATCCCTCGATTACATGATGTCTACTACACTTTTTCACGTAGAGCGCTGTAATTTGCCCCATAAATTTATGTTAGTTATACGAAGTTTCTTTACCCACAGAGGGAAATTCCTCTTAAGCTGCTACAGTAGGACAATAGTCACCTAATTTTCTTAACTTTCCTAACTAAGTTTCTATTATATTATTTTATCTTCGTACTGTTGAGTAGAGCATGTTGGGTAAGATAAATGAGGAAAATTTATAACGATGCGTGGTAAGACATATAAATATTTTATAAAGTGATTACGAGCTTTTCTTTCATAAGATGGTCTTTTCTCAAAGTTCCGCCGAGTTTCTACAGTAGTGACGTTTAGCAACGCAAGCTTTTCTAAGTTTTCCAATCTAACTTTCTATTTTGTTCCATTTTTGAAATTAAGTTACGTTAGAGTCGACCGTATTCTAGTGTGTTGTGAATAAATGTGGGAAAGCTATAATGGTACATAAGATGTGTAATCATTTATGGCTTTTTGAGTACATAAATGATACCGAGTATTATTATTTCCCAATATAAACTTCAAATCCATGAAGGCTGTTGCTCTACGTCATAACTAAACAAAGTTGTGTCGATTGGAAAGAATTCATAATCGCCAGAAATTCCCCGCATTATATTGTCCATTATACACGACAGTCGAATAATCGCTGTACTGGTCCTGCAGCGGAATGTTGCGGTTATCGAAAAAATCTTCTAGCTCTGAAATCTGTGTAGATATGTTCTCTAAGTTATGATTGCATCATGTTAGAGAGTTGTTTTCATTGAAAGAACAGACGCATTCTCGAAGGAAAATTTCCGCGCTGTCTTCTTTGGCAGGAGCAGTAATGCATGTCACATGATATGTAGCTTGTGCGTATGTTGGGTAGACCTTGTTCAACGATCACGGATCCGATCCACCGTTCGGACACTCTCTTCGGGAAGGCAGTCGTACTGGTATGCAAATTTCCGCGCCCTGATAGATGACCCAGTTCTGTGGATGAAGATATGGAATTTGCAGGTGATTGAAGCTGTTGCTTAAGATGAGTCGTTTTTAGAGTCCTTTCAGGCCAGCCGAATGTTCAGTGCATCAAGAGGTGCCACCATAGTCGTGGGTGGGCAAGAAAATTCTGCATTCCAATGAGAAATTCTTGCCTGTTAAGATTTCCGTGCAAAAGTGATTCTGGGAGTTGGGAAACTTGGAATCCCCTCAAAAGTGCGGGATATTATGTATATTATATATGCGGGATATATTTATGTATATTAAAAACATAAGGGGTCCAAGGCATGTGCCCGGCGTGCCGCAGGGCACATGCCTTGGACCCCTAATGTTTTTAATATACATAAATGACCTTCCACGTTTCTTGCCTAAGGGAATAAGTTGCACTATGTATGCGGATGATGTAAAGCTGTTTTCTATCGATGACCCAAAAATACTGCAACGCTCTTTAGATGCCTTATGGCAGTGGTCTGTCACTTGGGGCTTGGAAATATCTGCTGAAAAAACCTATGTGCTGAAATTAGGGCCTAACCCCAACGACATAGACTTCACTCTCAATGAGATCAGAATTGAGGAGCCTTCGTTAGTCAGGGATCTCGGTATAAAGTATGACAAGGCTCTTTCTTTTGAAGACTATATAAAAAGCTCTATCCATCTAGCCAAAGCACGTTCGAATTTTATTTTGCGCGCGTTTTCTATTAGGCACACAAGAACGCTCTTCCTGCTCTTTACGGCTTATGTTAGACCGCTTTTGGAGTACTGTTCGCCAATTTGGTCACCATCTACTCGCTGCTTAGTAGATGAGATAGAGCAGGTACAGAGAAAGTTCACCGAGAGAATATTCGCGCGAGCGGGCATGTTCCATATCACATATGAAGATCGCCTCAGATACCTTAGCTCCACAACACTTGAGATGAGAAGGAAGGTTATAGACTTCGATGTGCTATACAAGCTTTCTAGAGGGGATGTTGACGTTGACTTCGACGAGCTGTTTAGGAGATCTTTAACTATAGGCGTGACGCGGGGACATTGCTTCAAGCTACTGAGGGAGAAGGCTCGTTTAGATATGTACAAATATAGCTTCACGCAGAGAGTCATATCTTTTTGGAACAGCCTACCAGCCGATGTAGTTAGCTCAATGTCATCGAGATCTTTTAAGAATAAGGTCAATAAGATTCTGAGAACACAGGGCTGGTACTAGGGGGAAAGGCATTACGAAAGTGATGCATTTAACTCAAGGACAGATGCAGGAATGTTTTTGCTTCTTATTTGTCAGAAGTTGTAAGCGTCTGTGCTTGAGCTCTAAACCTTTTTAATTCCTTCTGATTTCAGTCATCGA